TGACTCTACACACACACACACACACACACACACACACACACACACACCTTGAATGACTTCCCTTACAGTACTAAAACCTGCCTTGGGACCCCCAAGCTTGTCACTGTTTGAGCTTCCTACCTGATACCAACACAACTCCACTTTCCACAAAGAGTCCCAAAGGGTCATTTCAAGTGGGATTGAATCTGAGTTCAAAGAGGTCAGACCATGCAACAAAAGGGGTCTCGGACTCCTCTAGGAGTGTCTGTTGTCCTAACGGCCCACGGGGCCTGTCTTTACTCTCAGTGCGCAGATGGCCTCGGTGGCAATGGGACGTGCATCTGCCAGGATGGCTTCCAAGGCTCCCAGTGTCAATTCTGCTCAGATCCCAATAAATACGGACCTCGGTGTGACAAAAGTAAGTTGCACTTCCAGAGCTTCCTTCTGCTCCTCAGCCAGGGTCCCTGCTGCACTACAGCTAGCTGAGGTTGCAGGCCTGGTGTCCTGGGCACCTTTGCTTGGGGTATGCCCTCATCACAGGGCATTTCTTAAGCACTTGGTTCTCAAAGTGTAGCACTTTGCCAGATTGTTGGGCCCCACCTGTGGAGTTACTGAGACAGTAGGCCTGGGATGGTATCTGAGAATGTGCATTTCCAACAAGTTCCTTGGGGAGGCCGACCACTGCTGATCCAAGGACCACTTTTCTAAAACCAGTCTTTTAAGCTTCCCCCACATACCTGAAGTGATAGTGGGTTCCGTGTCAAGAAACAGACTCGCTCCCTGCCTTTCAAGCAGTCCACTTCCATCAGTTCCTCTTTTTGCAAAATGTACTACCTTGGGCAAGCCACTACGCCTCTCTAAGGCTGTTTCCTCATCTATAAAATGGAGATAATAATACTAACTAACTCGTACGGGTGGTATAAATGGAAACCACTTGCCTTAGAACAATGCCTAGCACGTAGCATGCATCACCAATACACCAGCTGTTATTTTTATCTATCATCGTTGTTGCTATTATTCTCAGTTCACTGACATAAATGTCAAGAAGCTTATAGAACATGTAGAATGTTCCACAAAAGTAGACACTGAAAAAAAAATGAAGCTATATAATCTTAGAAAATGCATTGTGTTCTTTAAAATGACATTATGTATATATTTATGTATATAAATATATTTAGATACGTACTTCTAAGCTAAGAGTAGAACTTAACAATAGAATAAAAGAAATGGATCAGAGCTGGCTATAGAGTCAAACCCAGCTGAAGTTAAACCCACACTGTGCAACTTACTGGCTGTATGACCTTAGAAAAAGTCTCTCATTGAGCCTCAATTTCCCCACCTATAAAATGGAGATAATACTGGTACCCACTTCATATGTCATTAAGTTATAGCATAATTTAGGGCTTTAGCGCAGAGCTCGTACCTACCAAATAATCAATAAATGAAGTCATTCTTATGACTGTTACTACTAACTTCACTCATTTGTTACAAAATGCACAACCCTTCTCGTCTCCTACCTTGTCTGATCTTCACAACTACCTCTTAAGATGGACAGGAAGCCAGAGCACAGCAGAGTCATGGCTGCTGCTCCTTTGTCCAAATAAGGTTTCTGAGGGGGGAAAAAATAGGGGTTTATTCCAAAGCCTGCCAATGTTGGCGTTTTTAATGAGGCCAGTGGGACAGGGGACCAAGGCTGGAGGCAGCAAGGGTGGGCGTCCCGCTGAACACTTTCACCCCACGCACCCCATCTCACCACCTGAGGCAGAGGATCCTCCTTTCTGGGGTCTTGCTCCTTGCAAATTAAGCCCTGACTTGCTTAAAAGTTTTTGAAAAGTCTTTTTCATTTTAAATCCAGTCATGCTTTTCCAGCCCCCCTCCCTGTGTTTCTCTGCTCTCTCCTGGATGTTGGTTCCATGCGCCCAGACTAATCTCTCTCCCACCAATCCCTTCCGGGGCAAAACCCCCACAGATTCCTTCATTTCTGATCATATTCAAGCCTCCCAATCCTTGCCACCTCCCTTTGAGGATCATTCACTCCCTCATGCCTAGGAACCTGAGTCTGATGAGCTGGCTCATGCTACAAACTTTAAATACCTATAATCAAAAGCGAAGTAAGTTGCCGAAGCTTAAAATGACAACAGGCATGTGGAAATGCCAATTAATATGCTGATATACTGTGTTTACACATGGTCACTGATAGAAATGGGCTTTGAAGGCCTGAGTTCAAGTCCATACTTGGAAACTTAGCAGCGAGTTAGGCAATCTGCTTCACCTATCCGGGCTTCAGCTGCCTCACCTGGAAAATGGGGGTGATAAAAGTGCCTACTCCATGGGCCAGCCAAGTGGCGCGATGGTTAAGAACTGGCTTGGGACGCCAGAGGGCCCCGGTTCAGATCCCACATATGAGGGCCAGTGACACTGCCCTCCACAGCTAA